CACTACTACTACTACTACTACTACTACTATACTACTACTACTACGTACTACTACTACTACTACACGACTACAACAAAACTACACTTACTACTACTACTACTGCTACTACTACTATTACTACACTACTAGTACGACTACTACAACTACTAACTACTACGACTACGACGGCTACTACTACTACTACTACTACTACCTACTACTACTACTACTACTACTACTACTACTACTACTACTACTACGACTACACTACTACTACTACTACTACTACTACTACTACTACTACTACTACTACTACTACTACTACTACTACTACTACTGGCGGTCTCGTGCACCACATCACCACGGCTCAACCACCTTGGGAAGAGCGTCCTTGTGGCTGCCTCATTGCCAGTATGTAGCGGGCGCCACTTCTGGGTGAAGGGCGGGTCTGACGTGCATGCAGCGGCAGGCGCTTATCCGAGGGCAGCTGGTCCCTACGGCCCAAAGTGAGGCGTCAGCGGCGGTGCAGCAGCGCACGGGGCGACCCCAGTGCCGCCATCGAGGCCATCTAGCGCAGGAAGGCGCGAGAGGAGGCCAGGATGGCAAGCCAAAATGGCTAGGCGCCCAGCGGCGTCGCGGCAGCACACGGGGCGACCCCGGCACCGCCAGCGAGGCTCACGAGCGCCAGTGGGCGTGAGAGGAGGCCAAGATGGCAGACCAATTGGCAGGCCAGAGTGGCTAGGCGCACAGATGACCGCACGCAGAGCGGAGGTTAAAGCAACAGGTGCTGCGGCGCGAGGGGGGTACCACTGTGGGCACGCCGCGCTCGCGGGCAAGGCGGCGTTGCTGCAGCTGGGGCGTAATCAGACCTACAGGTTCAGCACCTCTGAGAGTGGCAGGCACGAGACCTTGGCATGGACTCACGTAGCCTCCCCGAGGGCATAGAAGTATCCGATGCTGTGGGCCTGCTGGATTTCATCAGTCAGGCGGGCTGGCCTGCTCCCTGCGCAATGGCTGCAAAGACCTGCGACGGCCGCGCTTGCACTTCTCACCCGAGATCGCCGCTGCCGCCCGCCTGCCCTGAGGGCCCAAAGATCTGGCGCTCGAGATCTTCGCCGAGGGCCACGTTCAGGGCTGCAACGTTTGGGATCTGCTGCGGGAGCGGGCCCGTCGGCGGCGGCGGGCCCGTCGACGGCGGCGGCGCCACAGGGGGCGCCGTCAGCGGCGGCGGCGGCGGAGCCATGATGGCCGCTGGCGGGGCCCCGACAGGCGGCGGTGGCGGGTCCTGGCCGCCGCGGGCCCCGCCCGCTGGAGGGGCGCTGGCGGTGCGGACGGGGGCGGCGCGCGGGGCGACCCCTGTGCCGCCCCCGCCGCCCGTGAGGCTGCCCTCCCGCAGGTTGCGGCGGCGCTCGTAGAGCGCCAGCTCCCTGTGCGCCATCTCTTGGCCTTATTCCGCGTCTTCTTGCTGTGGCCCGCCCGCTCTGGGTCGTTCAGCCCCCGGGCGACCTGCGCGCACAGGTCGGCCCACTTGAACTCGGTCAGGCTCTCCCAGGAGAGCCCCTCCATTAGCGCATAGTGGCCCTCCCACTGCGGCTGGTGTGGAGCCTAGCGCTTTGAGACGGTGCCCACTGCCAGCGGCTCGACCTTGGGCAGGTACTTCAGGAGGTCCACAGCGCTGAAAACCGGCATCTCCTCCTTCTTGAGCTTGTCGTAGCGCAGCAGGGCCTTCAAGTCGCGGATGTCCTCCTCGGGGTGCTCCGCGTGCAAGTAGTGCGCACGTGGCGGGTTCAGCTCTTCCTCTATCAACTCGACGCAGACGCCGTAGGAGGTCGAGTAGCGCGCACCGCAGTGGCAGTGCCAGCGCTGGCCCGTCTCCCCCGCCGCCTCCTGCGCGCAAGTGAGCAGCTGCGTCCAGCGATCCGATCGGATCACCGAGCAGCATCCCCTGGGGTTGTCCCAGGCCTTGTTGGCCGAGCACTTGTAGTACATGTTGAACGTGAAGCCCTTGCCACGGTAGAACTGGTCCGTGTAGTCGCCCATGCGGCGGTAGGCCTCCCGCGCCGCGGCGTTGCCCTGGCACTCCTCCTTCCAGGCGCGTTTGTGTCCCAGGTGTGCGCCCGACCCCCGAGGCTTCCAGGAGGCCCTTCTTCAGTCTTCCCACATCATCCTCTGCCTCCTCATTCAGCGCGTCGAGCCACTTCTGGGCCCCGTCCTGCGCCTCTGCGCCCCTCACCATGTCCTCCTTCTTCTCCAGGATGGGCCCCAGGCCTCCCAGCATGTGGGTGCGCATGGTCTCGAATTTGAGGACGCCATAGGCCCGCGCCATCCGCTTCAGCGATGTCTTGGAGAGGCCAAGCCGCAGCAGGGGCTCGATATCCGTGACCTCTTCCACGGTCTTGACGTCGGTCAGCTGGTGCTCCTGGCCCTCAGCATCATTGTCGGGCTGGGGGTCGCTCTCCTCGCCGCGGGGAGGTCCATCCTCGAGGGGTGGGGGTGGCGCGCGGGGCGGCCCCGGCGCCGC